GCGGGCGGGGGGGGGGGGGGCCGGTAGGCCCGGGCCGCGTGTAGCGTGCCTGTGCTTGCATTTCCACGCGTGAGCCAGAGCAATCGTGTGGCCCCTGTTGCTGACGGCAGGTTCTGACCCTCCCTGTGACCTCTGGCAGCTTCCCTGACCCAGCTGCGGAGTTTCGGGAAGCCATGGAGCGGCACGTCCCCATTCACGCGCTGCCCGAGGAGATCCGAAAGGTATGGAACAGTGGAAGTACAAAACTCAAACCATTTGGAGTCCAGATACTACAGTAATTTAGGGATGTTTCACTGGCCTTGGAACACTGGTACATTTCGGTCCTGGTTTTAGATTGGGTGTGTTCTAGGTTTCGTCATTATATATGAAGTGTAATTGCACACTAGTGCTATAGGAACGCTGTAGATGAACATACTCATTCCGTAATGGTGTTGTCACTGCCAGGTGAGCTTCAAATTTTACCCCTTATGGCATGTTTTGTTGCCATAAGTTTGGAATGACTGCAGAGCATAACATGTAATTGTTCCAAAGGAGTGTCAATACAAATAGGAACAGAACGTTCCCCTTCATCTTTTCTTGTATCTTCTCTTTGTGTGTGAGGCTGTTCTTTTGTTTGGAAGACGGATTATTACCAATGTAACAATGCTGCTATTTATACGGGTTAACTTACGAGGAGGCTCTTTACATGTGGTGATGCACAGAAGAGGAACACAAGTCACTTTTTGTAACGCTATGAAGTTTTTACTTTGGCAATAAAACACCCTGCTGTCCTCAGTTTGTGGTATGTGTCTAATAATCAACAAGTAATTGAAAAGTTTTATGTACTCAGGCTAGCACAGCCTGGAGAAATTCTCCCTGGAATAGTCCAGGAAACTGTTAAGACAGTTTCTGAGCCATCAGTGATGATTTCTGAGAATTCAAGGAAGGGTAAGATAGCCAAAGGAAGGGAAATGGAATACTTGCCCTTAAAAAAAGGGAGGGGAAGAACCCGGGAAATTTACACTCATGAGCAGCCGTTTTGGTAGCAGGAAAGATACCAGATATGTTTTTTATTTAGAAATTAGTTTGCAAGCATCAACAGGATAAGGCGGTTAGCAAAAATCAGTGCAAGTTTCTCAGGAAAAAAAAACGGTTGTACCATTTTGTTGGATGAAGTTCATTGGGGAATTGTTCTGGGTGTAGTACTGCTCAATATTTCTATTAATGACTTAAGGCTGTAGTTTGGTGGTACTTCAGCTGCCTGTCTCATTTGGATCAGTTCCTGGTCTAGTTCCTGATCTGTGTGCTACACATGTGCTAGCACGAGGAGGAAGCAGGTGTGAGTACAGGCACAAACTGGGAACAGAAAGGGGCTGACATGATTTCTTTCAGCAAGGAGTGTCTGTGTTCGCCGTTTTTCATTGAGCTAGGATCTTAGATTGCAATAAGGAACACACTGATGCCAGTCTGGGAGGGGTTGTGAGCATTCAGGGGACAGCATTAAACTTCATATTTTTAGTAAGAATAAGGCATATTTAAAAAGAGTAAGTCCTGCGCATCAGTACAAAAGACAGTAACTGATGAAGCTTCCTTGTTACTTGCCAGACCTAATGCTGAGGTCTATAATCAGGTCATAAGCAGAATAACATTAACAAAGTGATGTTACAAAGAATGCAAGTATTAAATGTATTAGTATAGGAATTGCACGTAAAACTCGGGCTGTTGTTATTCCTCTACTCAGGGCTGTTGAGGTATCAGCTCTGAGCTGCAGGCTTTAAGAAAAATAACACAACTGATGGAAATCTAGAAAAGAGCAAAAATAAAGAGCTTAAAAATCCTGTTGTTCGGGGAAAGGGTAATAGAACTGGGTTTACTTATTCTAGAAACTATGTGAGGGCACAGTAACAGCATTCACATGTGTAGGAAGATGGTGGTTGTCCTTCATCTCTGGCTGCAAATTAATCTTTTCCTCACCTTTTTGGACTTGCTTTGGTTGAGTGTTATGGAACTCCAGACGTAGGGGTAGCTAAGCACTGGAGCAGCTCGCCCAGGGGAGCTGTGGAATTCCTCCAGTGGTACTGTGGGGAACAAGTAAGGCAAACTTTTTCTTTGGAGTGGAGGACTGGGCAGGCAATCTCTTCAGGTCCCTCTAAGTCCTGCGGTACACATTTAACAAAAAGATCTGTATGCAGAAGGCACAGTATTTCTAGTTATGTACATGAATAGGCGTATGTTCCTGTCCCATCCTACCCTGTCACCTCAATGTGAGATATGTGAGCTGTAAGGCAACGACAGCCCAAGATTTTGGGATCAGTTAAGAGTTGGGGTTTTACATATCCTTTGCTGCTGCTTGTCTCTTCGCTCAGCTGGCTTGCATTGTAGTTGCAGTATAGTTACAAGATACAGCGCTTGATTACAAGCCATGCTCACAATTTCCTGTCCTTGTATTTTCTACCTTTTATGTACACATGTTCCTATTCCCTTCACATTCCCCGCTTCTTGGATTTTATAGCATCTCTTTTGGAGTTTTTCTTTTAGATTGCTCCTAACATGAGCAGAACTTGTACCAGCTGTAGGTTGCTCTGCCAAACTGAGCACATGTTCCCAACATGCAGCTTGCAGGCCAAAGGAACGTGTGTATCTGGAGGGAGTATGTTAAGCATTGTGATTTCAGCTGCAGAATGAAGAATATTCACTGCTAGGTGCCCTTTTGGGTTGGCTTGCTGGAGGTTGGGTTGTAGTGCTGACAAAAGACCAAGCAGCTGTCTCAAAAGAAAGGATGCAGGCCAGAGCTGTCGTCATTCCTCTTCTCCGTGCTCCTAGCGGATGGAACGTCACCAGCTGTTTATCAACACTTGGAGCAGTGACATCGCTGCCTCCAAAACCGCACTCTTCTAGCGGATGGCATGGAAAAGGAAGGCAGCATCTTGTATCAACCTGGAACAGTCTGTTCTCCTGCCAAAGTCTGCCAGAGAGAGGAAGACCTTCTAGGGTGAAGCCATAGATGTCAGGGCAGAAGTTGATATAAATTGACTGTTTCCAGACTGGGTCCAGTAGGTGTTACCCACTATGTTTATTAAAACTGAATTTAAAATTTAATCTAGAGGAGAAGAGATTTCTTGGCATTTTGTTAATGAAATCAGAGATATGAAGGGACTTAGATTCTTCAGATTTTGATCAATTTAGAAAAGTCATGTAAGAATTTTACATGGCCCTGCTTCTTTCTCTCTCTCTCTCTCTCCTTCCTTCTACTGCTCTCATGTTTCTTTCACACAACGTGCACTGCAAGAGGGATGCTAACTAAAAAACAATCAACAGGTAAATAAACATGCACATGTCAGTTATTAAAGCTTATAGCATTTTTTTTGGTATTTACAGTTGCATACTTCTCAGAAAGTAGTTATAGTAAATCTAAATCATGGTTTGCTTCTAAAAACCATTAAAAAACAGTTATGACTTTGCCTGTTAGCAGCTTGGTTACCTCACTGAGCAACGTTTCTCAATGGTAGAAGTCGGCAGGAGTGGGTTTTCCCTGCAAGCTTCGAAGGAAGCTATGCCCCATGGGGTGGTGGGGATGGCCAATGTGGAGAAGAGCTGCTGCTGTTTCGGCAGCAGCCCCAGGAGAACCGGTGACTTCCTGGGAGGGCGATAACCAAGTTGGTCAATGGCAAAGTCCAAGCCATAACTTACGTTCTCTTCTGTGGCAGTTTTTGGGGACGGTATTCTCTACCTCTTAGCCTTATTTTAGGGACGCTTGCATACTTCTGGGGGGTGATGCTTGCAGATTTGGTGTGCAGATAGGTGTTTTAGGTAACTGAGTAAGTTGGTTGGTCTACCTCAGTAGAACACTACCTTTTCCTCAACTGTATTGTCACAGGACTGCAGAAAGAACCTTGCAGAGATCGCTGGTTTGTAATGCCTACTTTTTCATGTATTCACATGTCTTAAGTTTTATGCCATCAAGCTCAGTCTGAGAGGTATCATAGAGCACTGGATGGTAAAAAAGGAGTTAGTGTTTCCTTTACTCCAATGTTATGGATGTGTATTTTTGGGGAGTTCTCTTTTGTTTGGCGTCAGTTTGTTTTGTTGTTTTTTTTCCTCACGAAAAAAGACAACTGTTGTAGTATAGCTGGTTAGTTGTCTGTTGCCGGTGGTAGACAAATCTTTTATAGGCTTGGGAATTGATTAAAATTCTGTTTGTTTCAGCGTTGTTGTTGGCCGTTCAGTGTAAGTAGATGGGAAGATGCAGTTTTGCCCTGAAGACCTTACTGAAGTGGGAAACAAAACAGCAGTAAAATGACTCCGAGCCCTCAAAGGACCAAGCAAAAAGTTATACTTAATTTTATATTTTATTTGGCAAATAAATAACCTTTGCTTACCATAAATCATAAAATTCGATTGAGCACAAGATGCCCTTACAGATTAGCAGTTCTCTCACCCTAGGAGCAGGCAGGGCAGGAACTTTCAAGCTGTGTTATCCATCAGTACGGGATGTTCCATGGTATCCAGCTATCCACAGAACATCACGTACATTACTAGCAGCAAATGGTTACTTATTAGATGGGCCGTGTGTGCTATAGAGTGGGCACGCTATGGTATCTTTATGAGCACATTATGTTATCTTCAATTTTTCTTGCTGTCTTCGAACCTGGGGTTATTTTTTTAATAGGTTCTTACATAGTTCCAGTTAGCTAAAGAATCTGTCCTGTCCACTAGGGCTAATGTTGCAGAAGTGAACAACATAGCGATGTATTTATTACTTACAGTGTGGATATGAATACGGATTCAGAAGCCGCAGCATTTCCATTAGTGCCCTCCAGATGAACAGGGTGGCTTTTACATGCGGGAGGTCTTTTCAGTGTCCTGTTGTCACATACCGTAGGAATGCTTCTTAAGATGATATTCATGAGTTACCCTTATGCCCACTGAGATTTTCAGTATTTGGCTGTAGAATTTTTAACTTTTAGATTTTGTTGGGATGACAAGCTCTGGCTATGTGAATGTTCTGAGTGGCTGTAACGTGCTTTGGAAATGTTAGACAATATCTGCTTATTTTTGGTGTAAGCCCACATTACAACCTGAAGAGGTGGAAAGCTGTCAACAGTGAACTGGTTAGCCGTGGGCCCGTAGTTGATTTGGGAAAGCCAGCTCCCGGATAGTAAAGGCAACCTGCTTTGTTACCACTGTGTATTGCGGTATCAGAAGATTTGTGCAAGCAGATCTGCTGAACTTTGATAATGAG